ATTACAAAAAATTCTATACATAGGGTTAACAAAAAAAAAAAAAAAAAAAAAATTACGATCATGGATTACAAGAAAAAAAAACAAACATTTTGATCATGGATTATAAAAAATTCAATCATGGATTACAAAAAATTCTATCATGGGTTACAAAAAAAAAAAACCAAAAAATTTGATCATGGATTACAAAAAAAAAAAAAACAATTCGATCATGGATTACAAAAAAATCGATCAAGTATTACAAAAAAATCTATCATGGCTTACAAAAAAATCTAGTGAATCGGCGAGTCACTGTGCAGAATCATCCGGTTCTCTCTAGAACCGGACGATTCCCGTTTTTTTCGCCGATTCGATCCGTCCATGGCGATTCCCAAGTCGAACCGAGCGAGTCCGGTTCGGCTCGGCATTTTTTTAAACACTGGTTCTATCTATATTGTTCTTGAAGTTTTAATTGTTATAATTAAGAGAAATGATCTTATAGGACCCTATTGTTATAATTAAGAGAAATGATCCTATAGGACCTTCTCTTACCCATGTGTGTAGGATCTCAAAGGATCACCACTAAATTTGGTACAGATCTATGGAAAAGTCAAGTTTCACATTCATGTGATAACTTTTTTAGAGATCTGTGTCAACTTTAGTAGTGATCTTTTGAGGTTCTACACACATGGGTGGGGGAGAGTCCTATAGGATCATTACTCTATAATTAAGTATGAAAATACATTTTTAAATCATTACAAAGATTTTTGGCCCTGAAACATCTTTGGATACTATATGAAGATGTGTCTTGCCTTGATTGTTTAGGGCCCAACCTTATAAAACCACCCCCATTATCATATAATGTAAAAAATATTGAGAAAAATAAAATAAACCAAATTTGCAACTCTATTTTGAAAATAAAGTGCAACTTGTAAGCTCAGAGATTTGGCCCTCTATCTGGGTTCAGAATGGAATCCACCCTACGGCACAAAACTTTATTTTAACTTCTCTTTATTTTTAACATAAAATAGATACTATTGTGAGAAAAAAAAAAAAAAAACTAATGGCCAACTTGATAAACGTAACTAGTATTAAACACCAACTCTTCGTCTTGCCAAATATTATTTACGATGGAAATACCCTGATGTTGCTACAACAACAAAAGACACAAATATCCCTAAGATCTCAAACAAGAAGACCAAGTTGATCCTAATTTCAATCTTCTAAAAACCCAAAAATAAGCCCTAACTAAACATCAACATATCAAACAACTAAAGAAAGAAAGAAAAACTTGAATACATCTTGGATTTAACTGAGAAAATCAATCATGTCTCAAGATTGTACATATATTGTCCAAGATTGTTTTGAAATTCTTGTACATAAAGAGAATTTCAAATACAAAAATTTCAAAAACAAGAAAATCCTTTTACATGTCATCATTACAAGATCAATTCAATAAAAAAGACATTGGTTAGGAGTTGAGAGAAGAAAATATCCAAATCAACTTCCCACACAGAATTGCTATTGGAGGGATCATGGATCTAGGGTTTCAAATGCTCGAAAGGCTTTCTTTCTTTTTGCCCTTTTTCTTGAAATTGTTAACAAGGTAAATAGCAGACAAAATGATAGTGTGTATATCAAAACAAGCCCCCTAGTCTTTTATGCTTTTATGAAGGTAAATTACCTCATGTCCATTTGTATTACATTAGATGAAAATTTATGTAAGGTTGCAACCTTATACTGTTGAAGTAAGGTGCACCTAAAAAATCAGTATAAAGTAAGGTGCACCTAAAAAATCCTCTAGAAGAGAGTGTTCCGACGTTTAAGAAACCTCTAATTGATCACTCGACCTTAACATGTATGTATATCAAGAAAAATAATAATTTCAAGCATAAAAATAGTGCATCTCGTAACCAATTATCTGGGCCGTCTATTTTCAAGATTTTCAATTGTCTATAGATCAACTCGATCTATACTATTTTTAAAATTTTAAATTTCATAATTAGAGATGAAAATCGGTTTTCGAGCCATCACAAGGTTTCCAACACCTAAACAAGATTTCCAAGCAAATTCATGTTAAAAAATATTGACATCTCTCAAGAAAAAAAAAAAAATTTCTCTCAAAAAAAATATCGACCATTAACAATACCAACATTGTATAATTTGCTTACCGAGATATTTGGTGTTCTAGTATCAAATCTCATAGGGTTTTTGGAGTGAGATATTAGTATGTGAAAATATACTAATATCTCGTACCAGTTATATTCCAAAAAAAAGTACTCTCATTTATGTGGAGAAGCAAAATTGGTAACTGGTCACTCATTGTTGACCCATTACCCTGTATCTTTGCTGGGTTTTTATGAAAGAGAAATGATTTTATAGGACTTTTCCTCACCCATGTGTGTAGGACCCCAAAGGATCACATAAAGAGTAATGATCCTATAGGACCCTCCCCCACCCATCTGTGTAGGATCCCAAATGATCACCATTAAGTTTGACACGGATCTATAGAAAAGCCAAGTCCCACACCCATGTAATAACTTTTTTAGATATCGGTACCAACTTTAATAATGATCATTTGGAATCCTATACACATGGGTGGGGGAGGGTCCTATGGGATAATTACTAAAGAGTAATATCCCATAGGACCCTCCCCTACCCATGTGTATAGGACCCCAAAGGATCACCATTAAATTTGGCACGGATCTAAAGAGAAGTCAAGTCCCACACCCACATAATAACTTTTTTAGAGATTCGTGTCAACTTTAACAGTGATCATTTAAGATCCTACACACATAGGTACGGGAGGATCCTATAGGATCATCACTCTTTATGAAAGAGAAATGATCCTATAGGGCAAAAGAAAATGGGTTAAATGTTAAAATAGTGTATCTCTAAAGGGTAGCCTGATAAAACTTGCTTGATTTTTTAATCAATTCCTCGTTGTGCCATTAGTGCAAGCTTTTGTGTTTATTAGGAAAATTAACATAAATATCCTATTTGTAAAATGTCCCTTATATGTTCACATCTTCTTTTTCATTTTTTCCATAAAACCATGGTCAGGAACTCCAGGTTCTAAGCCGGTGTTTTTTCTTATGAGTGACACATCAGTTGGGAACTTGAAATTTGAGATGCTCTCTAAAATTTTAAGATGCTTTCTCTAAAAAAAAAAGTTTATATAAAGTTGCAGCCTTAATGAACCTAAAAAATCTATCGAAAAGTTTTTATCAAAAAATCTTCTCTA